AGGAATGTCAATATTGTTATGCTGTGAGTTTTCGTAAAAAGTTAATGCGGGTCCTTCCAAAAACGCTACTATATATTGAGCCTTGTCCTCAGTTGTCCACCCATTTATTTTTGCAGCTCTATCATATTTTTTTAGAAAAGAATCTATGTTTCTGAGGTTGATCCAGAAAAAGTATCTGGTTTAATATATGGTTTTTTACTATCCATTTTATTAACTTTTTCTTGATTTATTACTGGCCAAAAATGTTGTTTTACGAGAGCAGTAAAATCAGATGGTAGAGATTCTCCACTTAAGTACTGCGAGAGTCTTAATTTTAACTCGGGAAAGGTACCTGTGGTGATTAGTCCTCTTTTATTTAGTTCAGTTATCAATTGAGAATTTTCTAGTTCGTCAATAGAGCCTGATGTAATTGAGGGAGTTAAGTTTTGTGGAGAGTCGTTATTAAGATTATTAACTTTAATTGGAGTAGACATGAACGCGTTTTTAGGTATAAAAATGTTTTATAAAATTTTAATTTATGTACCTGTCTATTTGTTTAGGATAAAAAGTAATTTGAATCGTGATAGAACACGTCCTTTGTATTATTTCATTTGAAAATATGACATGTTTTACTTATAAGAATTTATTTGATGATGAGGGAAAAAAGCCAACGAGTTGGGCGCCACTTTGTAATAAAATATAAGGTGCAAACTAAGGTAAAGGGAATGAGGTAACTGTAATTATTAATTAGACCTCCCAGAATGCCTACACCTTATGTTGGTATACCTATATTTATTTTATCACCTTTTCCTATTAGAGGAAGTATTATTATTGGGGTCGTGAGTTCTTTTACAATAAACTATAAAATTACCTATGGAGAACACAACTGTTCTTCTGTGAAACCTGGCTAATTACATATATAAATATAATATAATACCTTACAAAACTCACCAATATATATATGATTGGATTTTGCTAAATTACCAATATAGAGAGAGAGATTGGGCTTGTAAGTAATATAATCTTTTACCTTCCGTGAAGATGGATGCGCATTTGCTTCGCGTTACACCGATGATGAAGGTTGACAAAGTTCCAGGGGTAAAAAGGAGAAAGAATCTGAGTGTGATTGTAAAGAAAGAAAGAGAACACACTTTTTAGTATTAAAACACAACTACGATAGTGACGATATGTAAAAAATAATAACTGCAGCCTTCATGAACGTCCTTTACACATTTACGCACTGAAAGTGTACGTGTGTAAGACGCTAGAAAGACTGGAGGTAGATGAGCCCGTGGGAGGGCGTTTTATGCTGCTTTTTGTTTTCGTCACTATCGTATTTTTATTTTTATTATAATAATTGTTATTGTAGAACAAAGTATGTTTATTGTGATATTAGATTATTTGAATTGTCATTAGTACTTTGATATGTATAATGACTATATCATGACATTTAGACTTTATACATTAGTGAATTATATATTAGTAAGTAATAATTACAATAACATGTCATATTAATTGACTATAAGAAATGTTCATTGTGTATGATATATGGATATCATTACAGTAGATAAAATCAAACGTTTGGTATGTGTGGTGGGTAACGACGACGTATGGTAGCTAAATGTGTCGGTGTTCGGATTCCACTGTAAAACTAAAATCTTTACCGAGGTATTATGTTTAGGGTCAAATGAGGTATTAATAGATTGATTTTCTTTCGGAATCCGACTGAGTAGTTCTGCACAATTTGACGACCATTTTTTAAGTTCGAACCCTGCACGCAATAATGGCTGTGTAATATGTTCCTGACATTTAAGAAAACTATCAATATCGTTATTCCCGGTTATTATATCGTCAACATACGTTTGCGTGGACAAAATGTTTGATGCAAAGGGATAAAGATGACCATCTGTCTCTTCTAATGAATGAGGTACCCGAATAGCTTGGTAAGGGGAAGATGTTACACCGTAGGTCACTGTGGTTAGTTCGTAATCCTGCAGGGGATCAGATGCAGTATTACGCCATACTATTTTTTAGTATTGACAGTCGTCGGGATGTATTTTTATTTGCCGATACATTTTACAAATATCGGCAGTATTTATATATTTATGACACCGACACTTATGTAATAATTCGGAAATATCGTTTTGAAGTTTTGGACCAACAAACAACATAACGTTTAACGATATCCCTGTGGACGATACTGCCGAAGCGTCGAATACTACTCGTAGTTTAAATATTTTTTCACTCCGTTTAACCGCCGCATGATGAGGAATATGATATTTTCCCGGCCTTGACGCAAGTTGCATATGCCCCAAATCTTGATACCAGGGGCGGATTGGCCCACCGGGAATTCGGGAGTTTTCCCGATGGACTGGACGTCTGGACTATGGCTAGTTATTTTAGCAATTAGCCATGGTCATCAAAAAAAAATAGGAAAATAAATAATAGAGACGGTTATCTAGTGCATGGACTGATAATTTATAATTTTATATTATTAGTGGTATTTTTGTATAATAATTGTTATCTCTTTTATTGTATGTTTATATATTATTAGGTTATTATTATATGTGTATAATATTATGTAATATGTTCATTTCCATCGAGCAAAGCACAGCGTTTATAACTTCATGCATATCACTATGTCAGTTTATCATATTATCACCGCACCGCGCCCAACCCGACCTTTAATGACATAATCTCGCACGTTTCTCTACTCTACGCACGTGCGTTTTTTGAAAATGTTACTTGTGACTTTGTAAGTACTGAGTTGAGATAGGCGTCAGACAACACTACAACAGTATGAGTGAAAGGATTCCTGCCCCTAAAAGGAAAGGTGGTGCTGAAAGAAGTAGGGAAAAGAAAAAACAGCAACTTCGTGAATCGGCAAAAAAATGTAAATCTATCATCGACGTTTTTGACCGTCAAAGTGTAGTTACCAACAATAAGGTAGATAGTAAATTTAATAGCAATAACTATTTGTAAAATGTATAAAACAATGTAACTACCCATATGAAATAAAAATATTATATAAATACATGATATAACAGGTATTTATCTAAGTATGTGTCGATTGGTTTGTGATTAAATTAACAAATTATCATTTTTTAAGTAAAAATTGAATTTAATTAAAGACCTTTTAATTAATATTTATTTTAGATCATTCTAGAAAATGTGGAAGGTGTTGTTGATACTAATGATACAACTATACTTGCTAATAAACCAATTTATAAGAACGCTTTAAAAAACTATGAAGACAGTTCTGCTTATGACTCTCCTGCAACTCCTTTAGCTTCTTCCAGTCAAGTAGTAAGCTATAGTACAATTTGTTTGCTTTTTAAAATTCCTACAAATTATAATATGAGCCATTCAATTATTTATTTGTTTACAGTTAACAAATAAAGTAAATTAAGCATCTAGCAAATAGCAATTAAAGTAAACTTATTTATTTTAAGCAAAACATATTATTTTAAGCAAAAATTATGTTCAATGACAATGAGTATACTTTATACATCAATTATTAATTTTTTAATATCCCTGAAAACATGTTAATACCTATTGCAAAAAGTAAAAGAAGCAATATCCAACCGTTTAAAATTGTTTTTTCATAAATTCAAAATTTTCATTATATTATTTATAAATCTAAATATTATCAAATATTTTTAAGATAATAAAATTATTCTTTCAGATAATCTTTTATTGGAAATATAATATTATTATTATTTTTTATTCACCCCTCAAATAAAATAAAACATTTATTTAGACAATTCTGTAGAAGGTATAACATATTAGTTTTATAGGTATAGGTACATAATATTATTAATTTATTTTATTATATACAAGTTATTTTTACTTAGTTAATTTATGAAAATATGTTTTGGTTGATTGTAAACAAAATTGCATGATGCTTAATGCCTCTTTAATGCTTAATGCTTAATTTTTTTTATGTTTAATTGACAGGCTGAATATGAAATGCACAATGAACATAATAATAACATTATTGAACTTGAATTTCGTTCAGCTTCAGCTAATTTGTCCACTGACCTCAACTATTTTAAAAAGCCAAAATCATTAGTATTAGGAGAATTTTTTGATTTTCATCCTAATCAGCCACATCTAACTCATCCATTTAAATCATCAAAAGCTTTTTTAGGCAAAAATAATATTCAGCGTCGTTGGCTAACATATGATGAATGTTCTAAAAAACTATTTTGCAGTGTGTGCTTAGCTTTTTCTTCTGAACAAAATATTTTTACTGATGGTTTCAATACTTGGAGCCATATTTATCAGAGAATTCAAGAGCATGAAATCATTAAATCTCACAATTTATCTTCGGAAGCTTTCTTAAATTTCTCAAGTAAAAATACTATTGATTATCGACTGTCTAGTGAACATTTACACAAAAAAAAGATAGAAGTTACCAAAAACCGAAATATTCTACAAAGAGTTATAGATGTTGTAAAATTAATTGGTAAAAGAGGCTTGAGTTATAGAGGTCATAGAAATGAAGGAGCAGACACTTTAAATGATTCTTCTCTCGACCATGGTAATTTCCTGGACATATTATTACTTTTGAAAAAGTATGACGTTGTTCTTAGTGAGCATATTGATTCTATAACTAAAAGTGCCAGTGCAAATCATAAAAGAGGAAAAGGCAAAGGTAGAGGCGCATCTCTGACATTTATTTCTAAAAGTACTGTGAACATGGTTATAGATTCTATATCATATTTTATGAAAAAATCAATATCGGATGAAATTAGAGATGCTGTTATGTTCTCTGTCCAGTTGGACACCACACAAGATATTTCTGTTCAAGACCAATGTTCTATTATTTTAAGATATGTGAACTATAAAGGTATCCATGAAAAACTATTGGCTGTAATAACTGTACAACAATCTACTGGCAAAAGTTTTAGCGATATGCTTCAAGGTGTTTTAGCTGAAAATGGTCTTGATATTATGAAATGTGTCGGCAATGCAACAGATGGGCATCTCTGACATTTATTTCTAAAAGTACTGTGAACATGGTTATAGATTCTATATCATATTTTATGAAAAAATCAATATCGGATGAAATTAGAGATGCTGTTATGTTCTCTGTCCAGTTGGACACCACACAAGATATTTCTGTTCAAGACCAATGTTCTATTATTTTAAGATATGTGAACTATAAAGGTATCCATGAAAAACTATTGGCTGTAATAACTGTACAACAATCTACTGGCAAAAGTTTTAGCGATATGCTTCAAGGTGTTTTAGCTGAAAATGGTCTTGATATTATGAAATGTGTCGGCAATGCAACAGATGGCGCAGCGAACATGCAAGGAAAATTTAATGGTTTTTCTGCTTGGCTTGAGAGGTCAACACCAAATCAAGTTCACGTTTGGTGCTATGCACATATTTTGAATTTAGTGATCATTGATTCTACCAAATCACCTCTGAAAGCAGCCGCGTTATTTGTCACTCTTAATGATCTTGCTAATTTTTTCAAAGAGTCGTATAAAAGGATGAACGTTTGGGCGAATACTGTTGGTGAAAATAATAAAAAACGTTTACAATCTATAGGTAACACACGGTGGTGGTCAAAAGAACTGGCGTTAAAACATTTATTTGGATCTGATGGTATGTATATTGATGTGATATTGGCCTTAAATTCTATACAGATTTCAAATGGATTCACTCCAGAAGCTAGGTTAAAGGCTACAACTTTAAAAAATTCAATTTTAGAATACTCAACAATATTAACCGCTTTTATTTACATAAGAATTTTTAATATTGTTGGCCCGTTGTCTAAATATTTACAAACCAAGGGTATGGATTTATTAAAATGCCAAGAGATGGTTTTCGCAGCTATTCAAAATCTAAAGTCTATTCAAAGGGATATGGATGGAGTTAAAGTGATGGCAAAAAAATTTATTGATACCATGTCAGAAAAATTAGAATTGACAGAAACCGAAGACATAGACATAGTAATTGAAACTGAGTTGCCTATAATCAGATCCAGAAAACGAAAAATATTGTCTGGTGAAAAAAATAACGATGAGCCAATTACAGATCCTGAAATAAAGTTTACTGTGGAAGTCCATAATTTGATCTTGGACAATACTATTGCTAGCATGGAAAAAAAGTTTTCAAAAAATCAAATTTTATATACTGATTTTGCATGTTTGTCGCCTGTTAATTTTGAAGATATAAATAAAAAGGATTTGCCATCCAATGCTTTAATAGAGCTAACCAACAAAATCAAACAATTTGATGAAACAATTACAAGGGATAGCTTACAAAATGAATTACTTAGTTTTTCTAGTAACTGGAATGAGCTAAAAAAATCAGTTCCCGAATCATATGAAATTGATACCTATGATGAAATTCAAGATGAAGAAGATTTTGGAAACAAAACTATGTATCACATCATGCATGAATTGTTCTATTTGTTGTTACCTTGTACTTCAAAAATACAATTTATACAGCAATGCTTATAGTCATTTAACTATTGCTTATCAATATCTTCTGACATTGCCATGCACACAGGTAATAATTATAAAACATTCATTTAGAAATTCATTCAGGCCATAAAATATAATATAAACAATAATAATACATTTTATTAGTTGAGGCTTAGTCGTTAATGTTAAGTAACAATGATTTGCATGTATTTTTTAGGTTGCTTGTGAAAGATCGTTTTCTATTTTAAAATATTTGAAAAATAGACTCCGAAGTACTCTAAATGAAAATAAACTTGAGGCTTTTATGATTATGTCCATAGAAAAAGATACACTTTTCAACATAAACAATGATGAAGTTATTGATCACTTGAAAACTAAAAGCAATTTATTATTAAAAGAGCTATCTTATTAAGTAATTCTTGTAACTTTGTAATCGACTAAACAGTTATGAAATGTTCATTAATTATTATGTTTTTAAAAAAATAAACAAAATAAAACTGTACTACCTACTTACTAGAATAGATAGTTTTATTTTTCGTTAAAAAAAAATTGTTCTAAATAGTATTTAAGTTTATAGTAATTAAAAAAACAATTGATTTTAAAATATAGATTAAGAAGAATTGTAGATAGGATTTTGTACTTATAGAAATATCTAAGGATACAATTGGAATAGGGCCTGGAATTCAAGGGAAAGAGAGTCAAATATAAAAACATTTTGCCACAATTTATAGGTTTATATGTATAATTTTATGTACCTATAGTATATTGGTTATTTTATGAAAGTAAACACATTTTTGTGATTGAAACCTAAAAATTGCATGGACTTGACCGTAACTCAACATTGTTTACAATGACCGTGCGCCGGTCTATTTACCATTTTCCCGCACCAAAATGTTTTCCCAATCCGCCCCTGCTTGATACTCCCGTATAAATGCCCGATATTGGTCATAAAGCTGCGGGTCTTTGACCAATTTACGTCACATGACACGCCAAGTAACGAAGGATCGACTTTAAATGGGAGTGATAACGTAAAACGACCGTCACCATTTCACGTTGTAGTGCGACAAAAATGGTCTTCGCATTTTTGTTCACCCGTAAACAAATTATTGATCGGTATAGGTTCTTCAACCTCCCAAAATGTGCGTAATAAATGGTCGATTGTCACTTCTGAGGTTAATAATAGTGGCACCTTGGCCGATTTGCCTTTATTGACAGATTGACCCAAAATAATCTAGTCTAAGGTAATTTCCAATGCAGATGGTAGACCCGGACTATGTAACGCGCGCTATGATTGCCCTAGTATCTGCGGATAAATGTCCACACCTAGTAGAAAATCAATTGGTCCGGGAATATCAAAGTGGGGATCAGCTAATGCAACGTTACTATATGAAGAACGAATGGTGGTTGGTAACTGCGTGTTGGGCATGGGACCAGTAATTCTCGATAAGATTATAGGTTCACAAAATATCTTTGACGTCATAGTAGTTGAAGGTACTATGGTATAATCAACGACGCCCTTTTTCGTAGGTACACGCATTTGTGATAAACCCGTCACAGTAGTCGTACCTATAGTGGCGACGTTGAGTCCCAGCCGAACCACACACTCGTTTGTAATAATTGACACTTGCGAGCCGGGATCCACTAATACCCGAATCGGTGTCCATTCTCCAAGATTATTTTGAACTCGTCCCACAGCGGTATCAAGGACAACGTTCGCAGTACAACGAGAAGTTCCGACAAATGGTTATATCTGATGAAGTTCCCGCGGAACTTTCTAGAGGAGGCTCTTCAACATTATTAGTTCGCCAACCCACTATTGAACCAAAGATGTAATAACGAGTGGTGTTTCGACGAACAATGACGACATGTGTTAGTTGTATTTTTGTATCATGTATTTTTGGCTTATGACACCAACTGATGATACATTCTGTAATACATTACATCGTATTTTAACAAAATCCAACAACATATCTAACGTAGGTATAGCTACATCGTGGTATTCAAATTCAAATAAGCGTTTAGTGTTTGAATCTGAAGTGCGGGATGCTATATAAAACAATATAAAACCAGCTAAATCATCCACTTCGAGCACCCTTAATGCCACAACATTTTCATGATACGTACTTACAAATTGATTTAAATTTTAAAGTGTTGCATTTGTGATTGGGGTGAATCGGAATAACCTATCCAGGTGAGCATTTAGAAGTAACCGTTTATTATCAAAACGTTCATTTAAGGTATCAAATACGATTTCGTAGTTTGCGTCTGTCAAGGGGACAGATCGGACGACCGGCGCGGCAGAGCCCGAAACATATGATAATAAATAATGGAACTTCTGTATGGCAGACAGTTGTGCGTTTGTATGAACCAATGAAACAAACGTGTCTCGAAACGACCTCCATTCCAATAAGTCACCACTGAATGAGGGTAGCTGAATTTTTGGTAGGTGATTAGTCGAGATAACCGGAGGGGAATGTACCTTTTTATTCAACCCTAATGCCTCAATTGCTGCATTTATAGTATAATAATTGTCAAGAACCAGTGCTCCTATTGGTGCATGTAAACTTCCGAATTCGGAATCTCTATCAAGATCGATAAGTTGAGTTAATACGTCATCCTGATCAATTCGAAAATCTGACATAAATGTTTCGAAGTCTTTGTGTCGTGCGCCTAATATAGGTAACACCGATGAATTCGTCTTCGCTGTGTCCACCAGTTGACGTAGTACTGATATTTGTTCGACACATTGATTTCGTTTAATGATACTTCGTTTAAGAGCTCATTCAGCTCGTTCTACGTCCCCCGGTGTTAATGGCATGGTTATTGTAGATTAATTTTAGCAACGTTAAATAATTAATGATGACACGTAGGCAATAACGACAAACAGCTACTACACATGTAAAAATACTAATTGGTTGGCCGATCACGCAATTAGTAAATTAGAATGACCAATAATTAGTATGTCAAAATAAAACCAGAATTATAGATATACTATGACCTGATAAGTCGTCGCGGCTGCCCAATACAACAATTATCGCAATTACATAAGCGATCAAGGTAAACAATATAGCGAGTATTATATAATCATATTCTCATAATGCTAAGTAATTAAGGAATTTAGGAATTTGCACACTAATGACCTTTGTATTGGTACAGTCGACAACGTATATCGAGAATAGATCGTGCAAACCGATATTAACCACATATAGGTATACAGGCAATTGGCAAAATATAATATAATATAAAATAAAATATACAAACAAAATATTTAGCTTTTTAATGATTACTTAACAATATTTATTAAGGGATTCAGGGATTCATCCAGTTCGAAGGACCATATGTTTGACTTACTAGTCCTAGGAATCAGGATCTAAATTTCGTCAATGCTAATTACATAACATAAAAAACTCCGGATAGCATAGAGTAAATCTATCAAATGATAACTACGTTGGGTGTTACTTAATACATTTGATATTTTCAAAAACAAACAACCTTAATTTAAATACATCCCTACTTAATATTATGTTAGTGTAGTCAACAACAATAATCAACAATAAAGTAAAAATACAATATTAGGCATAAAGCCGACTCACAACTACCCGTGCATATATATGGGTGAAAGATGAAACGGTAGACGGCAATGGTGAATGGTGATTATAGAGACGCTGGGTGATGGATGGTCGACGGCAATGATGTTGAGAAATGAGGAAAGGCCATGAAATGTGGATGGTAACGCTGACACTTAAAATATTCGTGTATATAGGATTTATTAAAGTAATAAAACCACACATTAGACAATACGTCTTATGTCGTATTACGACGCACGCACACAACATTCGACCGCGACTGACTATATATATATGTTTAATGTAGGACTAAGACCTTTAATAAAGGAAAACGTAGAATTTAAGTGGACCGTATGCTTTTATTTATAATATAATAATAATAATTGTGGAGCCGCTCGCTGTGCTAGGTACAAACTTCGATACGCGACTAACTCGACTAATCACAAAATAATACGAGATAAATAATGACAATCGCGACAGTGAACGATAAAGCGACTCGAGCGCTAACATACTCCCGGCATTGAAAATGTTAATTTTCAACATAAACAATAAAAATAATAATAATTTTAGCCCAAGATACTAATTATACATATATCGTAGTCATATAAATAAATAAAAAAAAAAAATATAAATAATTACAATAGTACTACAAATAAATTAGTTTCAAACTCAGCGAACAAACATATTCAACAAACACGTAAATAGTATCAAAACAAATAAATAGATCAATAAATGGCTAATAAAATAGAAAAGTGCGAACAAAAAACATATGCATATACAATATAATTTATAAATAAAGACAAAGTAACAATGAAACGTTACCTACTATAATCTGACATTATTTAATTTCATATTGTGTAATAATTAGGAATTTCATAGATTATAAAAAAATTTTTTTTTATACCCTTTTAATCAATATTACTCTCGAAAGGAAGTGGGCACAACGTTCGAACTGCCCTTTTCAACTTACGACCTGCTGACGTAACCTCTACTGATCGAATGACTCCGTCGGATCCTCGATAGATTTGTTCAACTAGTCCCAATCGCCATTGCAATGGGGGTAGATTGTCCTCCTTCACTAGGACTACTGTTCCCACATTCAGCTTCGGACCTTTCTCCTTAGACCATTTGGACCTCTCTTGAAGTTGGCATAAGTACTCTTTACTCCAACGGCGCCATAACTGTTGTGAATATTGAGTAACTCTACGCCATCGTGTTAGTTGATTAACTGGTATAGCGGTTACGTCATCCTCTGGTACCGCGGTGAGAGGATCTCCTATAAGGAAGTGCCCAGGAGTGAGGGGGCTGGGATCAGAAGGATCAGTAGATAAGGTGGTTAAGGGACGCGAGTTTAAGCAGGCTTCAGCGCGCGTTAGTACAGTACATAATTCTTCATATGTTAGATGAGCTTCGCCTAATACCCTTCCTAACAGTATTTTCATAGATTTTACCGCAGCCTCCCACAGTCCACCGAAATGTGGGGAACGAGGAGGGATGAACTGCCACTTGACACCAATATTTGTGAAATTTCTTTGCAAATCTTCATGCGATTGTTTTGACTGGAATAGTTGATATATTTCTTTTAATTTATTATTGGCACCAACAAAATTTGTCGCATTATCGCTATATATGACAATGCTCTTACCACGACGGTCGAAAAAACGGTTTAACGCGTTTAAGAATGCTTTTGTCGTTAAATCGCTAACTGCCTCGATATGAACGGCCTTGGTCGATAAACACACAAAAATACATGCGTATGTTTTTATAATCGGTGATTTACGTAACGAACTAGATTTCATTAAAAACGGACCGGCGAAATCTATGCCACATTTTAAAAATGCACGTCCTGGTTGCACGCGGTCACTGGGCAAGTCGCCCATAATAGGTTGCACGAAAATAGGTTTATTACGGAAACATTTTATGCATTTGTGAACCGTATTACGCGCTAAATTTCTACCGTTAATTGGCCAGTATTTTAACCGAATAGTTGATAATAAAGCCTGTGGTCCACCGTGCATTAGAAGCATGTGCTGTTCATTAAATAACATTTTTGCAAATAAACAGTTCGCGGGTAATGCGATGGGGTGACGTTGAAAAATGTCGATTGTCGCGGCGTTTTTCAATCTGCCGCCAACGCGAATGACGCCATCACTATCGATAAATGGTCGAAGACGAAAAAGTTTGCTGTGGTTCGAGACAGCCTTACCGTTCGATAGTTCCCGCAGTTCGTCAACAAAACCGATATTTTGCGTATATTTTATTAATTTCAAAGTTGCTTTTTCCAACTCTTCTGGTTGTAGCAGACCTGTTAATTTAATATTATTATTCTTACGCGTACGCACGTTATTTATAATCCGTATGCAGTACGCGGTTATCCTTAAACACTTAGTCAATGATTCATACTTGCTTAATATAAAATCATCGTGATCAATGACACACATAACGTTGATAATATTTTCTTTACCTTCCGGAATATTGTCTAATTTACGGTGAGTGTCTGAACTTTCTGTCCAATTTAATTTATCTTCAGTCAACCACTTGGGACCCGACCACCATAAATCTAAATTGATTAATTTAGACGGACAGCAACCTCTAGATATCACGTCAGCCGGGTTGTCGCATGTACTAACGTGTTTCCATTCGCCCATTGTTGTTTTGCTTTGTATTTCAGCTACTCGATGTGCAACAAACGTTCTCCATTTCGTCGAAGGTGAAGCGATCCATGCCAATACTATCATCGAATCGGTCCAAAAATACTGTTGACTAATTTTTAGTTGTAATTTCGGTATTAATTTATACGCTAGACGTGTTAATAATAGTGCCGCACAAAGCTCTAACCGAGGTAATGATAATGTTTTTAAAGGCGCCACTTTGGATTTTGCACATATTAAATTAGTATGATGAATGCTCGCGTTGTCTGTACACCTTAAATATAAACAACATCCATACGCCAATGTACTAGCGTCCGAAAACCCGTGGACCTCAATAACACACGATTTTAAGTTGTTCGTGATTTTCCGTGTTATTGATAACCTGTTTAACGCGGATAGTTGTGTTCGATACTCAAACCATTGTTCGCGTATGTGCACTGGAACGGGTTCGTCCCAATCAATCTTTTCACGCCATAACGATTGTAATATTAATTTTGCTCGCACTATTAATGGGCCGACTAAACCCAGCGGGTCGAAGATCGCAGCTATATCGGACAGCATTTCGCGTTTGGTAACCGACATCCCATCTACCTTTTTATTCTCACGCACGTTATATTTTAATATATCTGACGAAGCGTCCCAGAATAAACCTAATACCTTTTTTACAGAATAATTAAGTTCGTGTTTATTTGATATTTCTATATCTTCGCTAGGTAGACTTGATGTTATTAAACTCGCGTCGTTTGATGACCATTTTCGTAACTTTAGACCGGCGCTGTTCATAACCACAATCAAGCCGTCGCGTATTTTAATTACTTCTTGTTTCGTGTCGGCTCCCGGGTAACATTTTCTAGGATCAGGGTCGGTTATCTTGCACCGTGCATATAACACGGTGCTAACACAGAGTTCGAGTGTCTTAAAAAACTTATATGGTGCATGATCGGTATAATGGTGCAAATAATTAAATAATTATAAAAAATGGGTTCCTACAAAGTTCAAAGGTGCAAACAGTTCAAAATGCACGATAAGTATAACCGTGCACACAACGACCATATAATATAATCTATTATTAAATAGACCATTTTAAATTATGTTTGCGTTAATATATGATGCTGCAGTGTCAATATAACACTGTGCACTAGGTGTATTGAGGTGCCTTCACCTACCGAGTTTTTTCCGTGTACTGGTGTAAAGATGGCAAATGCCAGTATGCCACAGTGTTATAGAATTACCGTGTCATATTTGTTTAAATGTATTTACTATTACCGTTGTCAATATGTTATTTTTAGTTAAAGTCCGGTTTTCCTACAATATTTCCTCGACGACCGCCGTCGGCATCGGTGTTCGTGCGATCGGCGAGTTCGACACTTCAACAGTGCAGTAGCCGCAGTAAAGTAGTTTT